TTTCCTAGGCATCAAGCTCTCCGGCCTGAATCTTGCCTGACAAGGTAGAGCCAGTACTGAAGGAGAGTGGTTGGTGCTGGATTTTCCATAAACGCCTTCGAGAAGCTGACTCCCAGGGAAGGATGACAATACCCCAAACTCAGATTGGAGTCACAGGCATGTCAGAAGAGGGATTATGTCAAATGTTTATTCAAAAACAAAAACTCTACATTTTTTTTTTTAAAAAGTGTCTGCATGTTAAAGGGGGGGGGAGGTGCCTAATTTCAAATGGTGTTGATATTAAAAAGGAGATGCTCTTTTTAGGCTTTTTCCAGTCACTAAATGTGGAAATATTACCCTTAATTTCTGATAAATATGGGTAAATTTCAGTTGATCTGACATACATACCACCAGATAAAACATAATTTAGTTTTGCCCCTCCTCTCTTCTGACTTGTAATAGAATCAAATAGCTTTGATTTAAAAACAATTTTTTAAAAATCCTTTTATTCTCTAATTTTCTTTTTGGCAGATCTTTAAAGTCCAAAGCTTTAAAACTGTGATACCTCTTAATCTGGTGATTTCTAGATCACTATTCAAGATCTATATCAATATATATGCATATATATTCTACTAGATATCTATTGGATATATATGTATATAGACTTATACCTATACATACATATATATACACCTATATATATGTACACACACACATACACACTGAGACAACCATAAGCCAATATTCAAAGAACAAAGGTTATCAAATATGTGAAAATATAAAATAAAGGTCAATGATGTGATTTTGAGAAGCTTATTTTGTTTTAACTTCAAATCAAATAACTTTTTAAGAGATTATATTAAGCATTTTATTGTTTAAAATAAGGATTTCCCAAAAAATCTTTCCTGTAAATAGGATTTAAAAATTTTCCCATATACTATGTTTTTAGAATTCTTGATAAGATAGCTCTTCATTTAATTTTGTAATCAAAGGGACTGCCATGTCTCACCCTTCCCATATCCTATTGAGGCCTTCCTTCCTTCCTTCCTTCCTTCCATCCTTTCTTCCTTCCTCTCTCCCTCTTTTCCCTCTTTCCTGTTCTTCCTCTCCCTCTGTCCACATGGGGAATCATACCCTTATCTGTGGATGCTCTGCCCAAAGGGATATAAATTTTGATCGCTGAAACCTTTAAGATATCTTGGGGTTTATGGGCTATTTTTTTCTTTCCCCTATTTATTTATTCTATCATTAAAAAAAAAACTGGGTCAATTAACTCTTTTGTCACATGTAATTTCATTTATGATTTCTTGAAATACTGCACTGGAAAACCAGGCTTTAATAAAACCCTTTAGGATTCAAATGGAGCTACTTGACCATGTGTTATACCCAAATCACTCTGGCTCTCAGTGATTGGCGAACAGTAGGTCTCAGCCCAACCCTCACTTAGTCATTGTTTGGGTTCCAATGGCTCAGAGCAATCCAGAAGCCCTGAGGATCATCCCCTCCCAACTTGATTTTTATTTTTAAGTAGGCAAACTAGGCCATCTTTTGCCTCATTTCTTACCTATCCTTAAATCACTTAAATGGGTCTTCCCTCAGATAAACTGAGAGCTGGGAAAGACCTTAGCTTAAAAAGGCCAAGGACTCCGACTGCACCTGAGGTCATTTCTAGTTGCCCTGATTTATGTCTTGCCACTGGACTCAGATGACCCTGGAGAAGAGAGTGAGGCTGATGACTTTGCACAGCTCTGTCTCCCTTAAATACAACGCACTTGCAAGTCAAGACATCACCCTCCTGATGTCATTGGTCCTCTTCCAGAGGATGGACAAACAGCCACAACAAATGTCAACAAAGCCTCATTGTAAATGTATGTAAATGCCCCCCCACCACCCCAACTAGGGTTTAAGTTGTAAATAATGGAATATGTTCCTTTATTTTAGAAAAACAGAATACAAAAGAAATGATCAAAAATACTAACAAAATTCATCAAAATGCATTTGTTTTAAGTTTAGAGAAATATGTAAAACTTGTAGAGATTCGTAATACATATCCTCAATGGCCACTGGAAATTTGATAAAGCAAACATTTATTAAACACCTACTATATGCAAAGCACTATGATAGGTTAACTAGAAGTGGAAAGAGTTTAGATAATACATGATCTCCTAAGTCATGAAGCCTCCATTCTGGCAGAGAGATAAGTAACAAATGCGGACAACTATAATATATAACAATATAACGTGATAAGTACATCAGAGAAGTAAAAACTAACTGTTAGTGAAGTCCAAAAGGAAAATAAAAGTGTTCTTAGCCAAGGGTGTGAAGACATTTGAATTGGACTTTACAGGCTAAGTAGGAAATTCAACAGGCAAAGAAGGACATTCCAAACATAGGGAATGGCATGAGCTAAGATATGCAGGCATGAGAGCTCAGGGATTGATTGAGAGACAGAGAATTGTATCATGTGGCTGCTGCAGCACAGAATATATAGAAAGTAATACTATAAGATAAGGTTGGAAAGATAGGGTGACAACAGAGTATCTTGTGTACCTTGAGCACCATGCAAAGGAATTTAAACTTTGTAGACAACAGAGAGCCTCTGAAGCTTTTTAAGCAGAGACCTAATGTGATGTAGGCAAAAGAAAAATTCTGGCACTGATGAAGGTTGACTTTGAGACAGCAGAAAGTAGAGGAAGAAGACTAGTTGAAATTTTGCAATAGGCTGGACCAGGGGTGGGGAACTTGCATTCTAGGTCTTTGGGTGCGGCGTTTTGACTGAGTCCAAGTTTTACGGAACAAATGGGATTTGTTCTGTGAAGTTTGGATTCAGTCAAAGGGCAGCACTTGAAGACCTCGAGGGCCACATGTGACTTCTGGGCAAATAGATGATACTGAGGCTTTGTACTGCAGTGGTCAGAGTGAGGATCAAGATGAAGGAAGAGATGCTAGAAGTGTTTCAGAGATGGAATAAAAAAGACTTGGTAATTGACTGGCTTTGAATGGTGGTCAAGAGGGAAGTGTCAAATACAACCCCAAAGTAGTGAACCCCAGAGACAAGAGTGTTCACATTTTGCCACAGACAGTGAAGTCAGAACTAGTAACAGTTCTCGAGGAACACATTTAAATGCATTGCATTTGAGGAATAGGTGAGACATCTAGGTTAAGATGCACTGTAGAGATAGAAGGGTATAAGTCAAAGGAAGACCCTTTTTTTCTTCTTTCTTTTTTTCTTCCTTCCTTCCTTCCTTTTTTCTTTCTAGGATTGGTGAGAGGGGACTATGTTTGTAAGCAAGTGGTAATTATCCATTTGAAAAATAGATTGTAGATGTATGGTAGAGAAAGAATGATGGTTGGAACAATCTTGAAGAACTCAGAAGAGAATAAATAGAATGAGGGCAGAGGTAGAGGGTTCCTACCTCCTCTGTGAGTGGAGAGGAGGAAGAAAGAGTGGATGATGCAGCTGAGAAGTTAGAGGAATTGAGAAGGGAAACTAGATAATACTCTTCCAAGTGGGAGGGTCACACAAAGTTAAGGGTGGTGGGGTATTTGGGAGCAAGAAGAGAAAAGAAAATGTTTAAAATAATTGCTGTGAGGAATGACATAAGAAGCCAATAGACTAAAATGAGATTGTTGAGCAGAAACAAAGCGCCAATCAAGGTTATGTACATGAATTTGTAATGGGCAAAATCAGATCACTTTCAGGACTTTCTCCAGTGTCACTCAGCACCCCAAGAGTAAGAGCAAGGGAATCAGATAGTGAGTGTTATTTAGGGATGAGGATTTGAAGGCCAGGAAAGGAGAAAGGGCTGAGGCAAAGGTAGTAACTAGAAGATTAACTGACGAAGACCAAATATAGAGGCAAGTTAGCCAGAGTAGTTATTTTAAATGGAACTACTCTTATTGTTATTTCTTCTTCATTTTTGTTAGACCTGTACATAACTGTAGCATAATCCAACCCAGAAATGTATGTGATGTTTCAATCAAATAGTAAATATTGAGCACCTACTTTGTGCCAGGCAGCATGCTGGATGCTGGGGATACAAATACAAAGAATAAAACCATCCCCATTCACAAAAATGGGAGAGAGAACAAGGATATATAAGAATATATACCCATATGTATATAACAAAAACGTAAAGTTAATACACATGTATGTGCATATATGTATACATACAAATTAGTTAAATACAAGGTAGTTTGGAAGGGAGAGAACTAGGAGTTGGGGGGATCAGGAAAGACTTTATGCAAAAGTCCCTTGCCTCAACACCTAGAAAAGTGCCTTGCATATATAGGAGTTCAATAGATGTTCAATGTTTATGATGAATAAATCCATCATCACTGACAAGGGTAAAAAAGCACTCAAAAGCATGTTAGCATTACTTGTATATGAAGAACAATAGTTTTTATTTAAAGAGCTTACCATTGCTACCAGTTTATTCCATCCTCATATTTCTGCTGTTGGACACTAGAACTGTTGTTCTTCAAACTCTAGTAATTATTAGATAATTAAATTATAAAGATTGTATGTGAGCCAATGCTAGGCCTGCATGTGAACTGATTGAGGTTAAAATGCTTTTTTGAACCCACTCACTATTTTTTAAAATCATCAAAAGTTGTGTGTTACAAGAATGTAAGAAAAGAATGTGAGGGAAGACTAGAAAGCCAAAGGCTGGAATGAAGTATAGAATTAGTATCTGTGAACTACTGAGTGTTCAAGGTAAAGAAAGAGAAAATTATAGTTAAACATGCTTATACTATTTTAGCTCTCCATGCACACATGTAGGTACCAAGTAGACATGGAACTGAACTGAACTGAATTCATAAGAACACCCAGATAAGACTGGGATGACTGACTTGGGTAGGAAATAGATACCGAAAAGGGCAGCTTGATTATATTATTTAAAGCACTGTAGATTAGTAAGGAGCAAAGTGCCAAAGTGCAACATAACTGTGGAATATTTTAATTTCTTTGTATATGAGTTTCGTCTACCAATCGTTTGTTTTTAAAACTTTGCAGATAGATGGACTTTAAAAAACTTGCTGATGAAGTCTCCCAAGAGGTTTTAGCATTCAGCCGAGATACATCGGGCTGGAAAGTGACTAAAACTTCAGTAAGAAAACAAGTTACTATGTTTCAAGAGATTTTATGATATACAGATTCATTGTAAAGATATTTTAAAATGTTTTTTCTTGTAACAAACAGAAAGATTTGTTTGTGTTTTGTTTTTATTTTTGTTTTTGTACCTGACAGCTAATTTATTTTGTGGATTTTTATTCCCCTTTGAGAAAAAGATAACAGTTTCCTGGAAGCCTTCTAGAAATTACGATGGACATTTGTGAGTACTTCAATTATCTACTTGCAGTAGTGAAATTTGCAGTTTAAAAATGTAATGGCACTGATATAAGTGGAATCCACAGTTGTTTTGTAAACAAGTCATATGATGGAGGTCAGAAGGTAAAAAGTGAATTATAAAATTACTATTTTTAAAAGTGACACTAAGAAAATATATTAAAATTATATCTAAAATTGCTAGTCATTTATTTTCAGAGGAGGAAAAAACCTCTTGACGAACCATTCGTATCAGAATTGCTAGTTTCAAAAATAATTATTGCACATGGTTAAGTTTTAATTGTTTGGGGGGTGTTATTCCTTTTTCTAGAGTCAGACTCCTACTTTCATCTGGTAGTTTTGTTTTTTATCTTTATTTGCCTTATGGATGCCTCTGACCTTCCATTATATGAAGCACTGGAAAGGAAAAGCTGGATCTCCTGATTTTATTTTTCTATAAGCTGTTTTTAAGGCAAATTTTACTGTTTAATCATGCAAGGATTGTTGGTTTCAACAGAAAGACTCCAAGGAAATGGCCAGACCTGACATTTTTCAACTACATATTTAGAGTTTCCCATTAATCACATTTATTACAAAAGGTACCACATAACTATATCACATTAATATATGTTCAAATTTAACAATTAAGTGGGTTAGGTTTGTATTCATTCACCTCTTTCTCCTTTTTGAGGCTTTATCCTTTTTCAACTAGGTTTCATCCTTAGTTTTTATGTTTTATCCTTTATCAGACACACCCTACTGCATTGACATTTATCTGTCCTATGTTCTGTCCCCTCTACTGGTTTCAAATCATCAGCTAGCTAAATGGATAAATCATTTTCTGTTTATAGGAAAGAGCTAGAGGTCCAGGTGCATTTATTTTAACTGTGGTCTTACAAAGATAATAGATCCACAGGCAGCATGATGTTGCAAAAACAAAACAAAACAAAATAAAATAAAAAAACCCCACTAAACTTGGACTTAAAAGTTTAAATCTCATAGTTTTAACATCAGTTTTGTGATTCTGGACAAATAATTTAACCTCTCTGTAAAATGAAGCTAAGAACACTTGTAATACTACTTCACTGAATTCTAATAATGTATTTTGTAAAATGCTTTGTAGGAAACATTAACAGTAAGAATTTTAAGCCAGGTAGTAGTAGCAGTAGCAGTAGCAATAGCAGTAGCAGTAGCAGTAATAGTAGTAGTAGTAGTAGTAGTAGTAGTAGTAGCAGCAGCAGTAGTAATTCACATTTATATAGGACTTTGCCTCCCACCTTCTCCGCCCCCCCTCAATCACCATGTTAGGTTCTGATGGTGGTATGACTCTTGAACAAAGGAGAAAGAAGATCTAAATCTGGCATGAAGTGTGATATAAGTGGTGTAAAGAGTCATAACTGAGACCACACACCTCATAAGAGGTAAAGGTTAGACTTGAATCCAAGTCCTCCAATGCTAGGCCCAGTGTTCTTTCTACTATACCCATGTTCCCAGTGGGGCTTTGCCTGGGAAAGGGGCAGGGGAAGGAGGTGCAGCTTGCATTTTTAAATCATTTAACAGTATAAATACTGACCTATTTGATGTATGTACTAAGGCAGCCCAGAGTGCATTTACTTTATTCACTCCTTCATTCACCAGATATTTGAATGAAACACTGTTGAATACAAGAACATGTTAAGTCTGTCCCCTTTCTCAAAGAACTTTCCATTTAAAATCATAGAGCCAGACTGAACCAGCTCATGAGAGCCAAAGTTAAAATTTCAGTTGTATTAATTTATATCTTAGAAACTGGCAAACATGACAGATTGGTGCTTGATTAGTATAATCTTTCAATTTCTTTAATATGAAACTGAAAATGTGAATATAAACAAATACTTTCATAGTCACTCAAAACTAAGGAAGTTCCCCCCCCCAAACCTCATGAAAATCTTAGGAAGGATAATTTAAGGAGTGTTGGCACATCATATATCCTTCACATTTTCAGTTTCATATTAAAGAAATTTAAAGATGACATAAATGATTGTTTCAATTTAGTATTTTCACTGATAGCCAAAAAGTCAATTGGACAAAAAGTGGACTTCTTTTTTCAGGTGGAAAGTTTCACACAGAGAATGAAATTGATCTGTCTGACACTTGGCACATTCTCCATTCCAACAGTTCTCTTCTAAGTCCTCCTATATACCCACTATAGGGGATCTACCCAAAATACTCTGGGCCTTTCTCTAGATCTCTTGACATATGAGTGCCAGTGGAGCACACATATGGACTGTCTTACCTCATCTCTCTCTACTTAGTTGTCCATCTTTTCTAGTCATGCATCTATCTCTTCAGTGACATCTTTTATGCCACTGTTTGTGGACAGTTTATTGTTGGTAATACGCTGAAGTCTATTTGTCTCCATTTTGTATGTTGCATCTCCTCTTTGCCCTTGGATTGACCCAGACTCTTGATTCTTCAGAGACTGTGATATGAAATGATAATAACATACTAGCTAGGACATCTAGGTGGCACAGTGGATAAAGCATTGAGCCTGGAGTCAGGAAGACCTGAGTTCAATTCTGTCCTCAGACACTTTACTAGATGTGTGACCCTAGACAAGTCAGTTAACGCTGTTTGCTTCAATTTCCTCATCTGTAAAATGAGCTGGAAAAGGAAATGGCAAAGCACTCCAGTATCTTTGCCAGAAAAACCCCAAATGGTCACAAACAGTTGGACATGACTGAAATGCTGCAGTAATGATGATGATGATGATGATGAGGATGATGATGATGATGATAGCTAGCAAATGTTAGCTTGCTAGCTAAGGTGTTGAGGGCATACACTATTTCATTTGTGTTTTTAGATCCCTAGCACCTAGCATGTTGCCTTGCATATTTAGATAGTACTTTAAGGTTTGCAAAGCTCTTTACAGATATGTCTCATCTGATCCTCAGAACAACTATGGGAGGAAGGTGCTAGTATTGTCCCCATTTTACAGATAAGACAGCTGAGGCAGCAAAGCTCAAGTGACTTGTCTAGGGTCATACAGCTATTAAGTGTCTGAGACTGTATTTGAACTCAGATGTTCTAGACTCCCGACCCAGTGTTCTATCTACCACACCATAAAGCTTCACTGGAAGGATACCGGTGTTAAAAAAGATAGATTTTTGTTTCAAAGGAAAGCTTGAGGTCATTAAAAGTGCTGTCCATTATGCCATAGGCAATGCAGCCAGCTCTCTTCCTCCTATTCAGTTTTGAACCCATTTCATTGTCATCTACAGTATCTGTCCAAGATATTAATGGACCAGTTCTATGGGCAGCTCAACCACCTATGTATGACAGTCTGGACAATAGGTACCCCTCCCTTCTCTTGTTTTTTTCCCTGTGTGAATGGATTGGTATGGCTGAACTTTTTTAAGCATTTATGGATCTCATTTAGGAGGCTCTGTATTGTTCTGAGATTTGATGCAATCACCACAATGTTATCTGCAATCAGAAATATTTGGTGGACCTCTCTGGCTTTAGGGAATTCCTTCCCATTTAGACTCGACACTGGACCTATAACACCAACCGTGACAGTAACAAACCTTTGGCAAGCATATATTTCCCATCTTATGCTTCACTTGTTATCAATAATCAGCAGATCATTGAACACCTCTGTTGTTAGCTCTGTCGAATCTTTTATGAACTAACATATGCTTGGAGAAACTACGTTGTTGGAGATGAGCCTTCAAAGTCCTGTTTTACTCAGCCAAATCAAATCCTTTTTGATTAGTAGGCTGAAAAGAGCTGTGCCCTAAGCCTGGAATAAACTTCCTTCTCATCTCTACATCTCAGAATCACTGTCCTCCCTAGTGGTTCAGCTCACATATCACCTCCTTCATGACCTTATTTGTATTCTCTCCCTCAGATATCTTTGTTTTTCAAATTTCCTTGTCCTACACTTAATTGTGTATATGCCGTATCTCTCCAACCCATAACCCCTCCTCAGGGAGAATAGAAGCTTCTTGAGGGCACAGGCTGTTTCATTTGTATCTTTACAGCACATTGCATTGTACATATTGGGCACTTAATAAGTTAGTAAATTGAATTAAAGGTTTGAGGTGCCTTCCTTACACTAGGCTAAGCTACCAAGGTAGTTCTTTTAAACCAAAGCACTTACTGGTATTACCTTCATGCCTCAGACAGACCATGAATAAGAATGTGAACCTAGAACTCAACCTTAACATAGCTCAGGATAGTTCTTTGTCTTGGTCTGGAAAGTCCTGCTCCTTTTCTTCATGGTGAAATAAGGAAGAAGGCGAAAAAGCTGAGCTTTCCAACTCCTTGATCAGGACTTCACTGTTTTCTTTGAAGTTCTGCAAATTACCCAGGAAGTCATACAAATGTATATTCAAGTGTAATAAATAAATGTTTGGTGACTAAATACTAAATTAATTCTAAGTGCTGATGCCTTTTTGGATTACTCCTTGATATCTATGCTACTGTTTTCCTTATTTAGTGTAATTGGTAGCTGACAATCTACTTAACTTTAGATGCAACAGACTCTAGAAGAGAAAACACTTCTGTTCAGGGGACATAAATTTGGATTCTAATTTAAGCTCTATCACTGACTCTGTGTATGAGTATAAGTAGGTAGCTAAGTTTCCCCATATGCAGAATTGACTACCATCTTTCTCCAACCTGCTTCCATAGAGCTGCTATGAGAATTAGTTATATGCAGTAAAGATTCAAGTACCACTTATATCAAACACTGAAATGTGAGAATAGCAGCCCAGAGATAGGGGACCTGCAGCCTCAAGGCCATATGTGGCCATTTAGGTCCTTAGGTGCAACCTTTTGATGGAATCCAAGTTTTACAGCACAAACCCTTTTATTAAGGGGATTTGTTCTGTGAAGTTTGGATTCAGTTAAAGGGCTGCGCTTGAGGACTACCCCCCCTAGAATATCCTTTTCTAAGCTCCTGTACCATGGTACAGTAGAAACAGCCCTGTCTTTGGAGTCAGAGGGGCCTGTGTTCTAATCCTG